AAGTCTATTTGACCGGATCAGCAAAGAATCAGAACAACAATCTCAGATTCATGACAGCTGCTTATGAATATCTTGGCAATAAACCATTATGGTCACCGATTTTCTTTTGGGAAGAAATATTCAAACGTCAAGATTGTCTCGATGTCATTCGACTTTGCACTGGCCAAGATTTGTCAACTCGATCTGAAAAAGATGATCCATGTGCAAGTGGGGACGAAACATTTCTGAAAAAGGAAGAAGAAGATGGCACTCGAAGTCACCTAAACTACGACTTCCCGGTTCAACTGTCGACAACGCTTTCACCTCGAACAGTGGTGTTGTATTTCGAACAAGGTCGGCCAGTAGCTATCGATGGGCAACGATTGAATTTTGTGAAACTCGTCGGAGAGTTAAACAAGATTGGTTTGCAATATGGTCTACCTTGGAAAGCATCTGTTGAATCACGACCTAGTGGAAAAGGTGAAATTGAATGGAATCTGACGCCTGGTGTTGATGCACTTCGAGAAGCGATGTCTCGGTTGCGAGCTGCATCTGTTCCACCTCGAATGCATCAAGAACTATTTCGCTTCAATGCTCAACTGGCAGAAGATATAGTACGTGGTGGATTACACAACACAACAACGGTAGCCTACATCAATGTTATTCGAGAGTTGTGTGCAAATGTAACTGGATCAGTAGAACTGACATTCTATCCGGGTTTTGTTCGTGCCAGTCGGCCAAAACCTGACAGAGCAGTGACTGTCGCTGAAGCTTCATGTGGTCATTTGCCATCTCCGGAAAATGCATTGGATTCGGTTAATGCTCTTATTGCACATAATGTAGTTGGACAAGCATTTCGAACCAAAAAGCAAATGCGAGAACATAATAACTGGCATGCTGGCCAATGGGCAAAATCTTTCTAAGGAAAAACAACGCGCCATTATTATTTGTTCATATTTCATTATTAATCTCGAATTATATGTGTTATGCTGCAAATCTTTTTTTTTTTGTAAGCTTCTCTGAATGTAATGAGAAGTCATAACATGGGTAATAGTTCTACTGTATATTTTACTATATACAGTTGACAACCGAAGTCAAGAAACCTCTTTAACGTTATTTTATTTGTTTTCTAATGTAAAATAAACAAGAATCTGCACATTGTGTCTAATTTCGAGAATATCATATACACAATTCTTCTTATCGATCGTTTTTCGTTTACACAAGTCTTGTTGTTACTGTAAGCAGAGCAAAAGATTAGAATTTTTTCATCTTATATAATTCTGAGAAATTTCGATGTCATATCACTGCAATCAAATATTTTATCTCGGATTCGAATAGCTGATCGAAAACTGTACCATGTGACATATTGAGGAAGGTAAGAGTGATTTTGGTTCTCATTTCAATTCTCTTTGAGCACTCTGAGTATCTTACAAACAAAACCTATCCAATAAAAGAAATTCAAACTTCTAACCACAATTAAATTGAGTACATTGAATAATGGCCGATTTGGACATTAACTGTCCATGATATACTGTAGCTGTACATCGGAATCTACAAGAATGCTTCGAATGTGACGAAAAATTCGGATATCTAGATATGAATTTATCAATTCCATTCTTTTTTGCATCTAACGATGAAGAGTCTTTGTATCAATCAGTTCGGTTAATATCTCACTCGAGAGATCTGTGGGATTGTGAGGGAAAGAACAAAGTTAAATCATTTCTACCAAAAGACATATGTGATATCCTATGCGTACTGTTTTCACTTTTCCCAACCATACCTCTATCTAGCTCAAAATGTATGCATAGCCAACTAAATATTTTCTCATTGATATCTAAAAAGCTACGAATCGATTCGAATAAATTTTCCATTATTTCTTTCGAATTTCATTGCTAAAAATTCATTCGTTAAACATACACCATTTTCCTATCATATGAACATGTAAAATCAACATGTGTAGGCGCATGGTCAATAAAAAAAAAGTTGAAATCACTTAAAGATTTCTTCAAATTTAAATAGTAGCTCACATTGGAAAAAATGAAAGAATCATGAAAACTTCAAGGATATGATTTATGAACCCACTCAACTTGATTCCGAACAATTCGGTTTGATTCGTACTCGATTTTCTATTGATTTATTTGATCTTCATATATTCGTATCAGTAAAAAATGCATATAGAGACAAGTTTTTAACAACCATTCATATTTCATTGTTTACAACGGTTATTCGCTCTCTTTCATTTGCAATGCTATTTTATCGTTCGGATTTATTATTCAAACAACATTTTTTGTCTTTCAGTCTCGTGCATGCATTGTTTTTTTTTATTGAAGAAATCATATTAGAGTCTCATCATCAAACGATGCATACAGAGCTAATAAAATAAGAGCTTGTTTATTGACAAGTAGGCTGTTGCTTTCCTTTCTCACTTCTTGTAGTATGAATAATCAATGATATTTGCGAATGTTCGATGTTTGGATTGAGAAAGAAAAAATTCGACAGTATAAGAGAGTTACAATTTTTCTTAGAACAGTATTACGTATTCAATGTCATATATCAAGTTAGCAAGTATTACTACTCGAGATATGAGTAAAAATCACTTTTATAAAAATGATAAGGTTTCTGTATCATGTGGAAGACATAAAATGAGAGTGAACTCAGAAAATGAACACATTGTTTTATCTTTTAATGATTGAAGATTTAGTTTGAATGTATCTAAAAGAAGGACCCAGATAACAAACATATTAAGTCATATAAACATAGGACAGATGCCATTTGAAATGGATTTCGTGAGTCTACCAAATCCGATTTGTTGGATTCATCTTATATATCCGTAAACTTTGAATTGCGTATATCTTCTCCTTCTACTGATATAGGACCCGATATAATGAAAACAAATATGGTGTGTTTGCAGGTTTTGTTTTGATAACCATTGATTGAAGTCACGTTCACACTCAGCCACTCACAGTCAGCCACACCCTACCCCGTTCGATCGAAAACAGATCCACAAACATATTCTGCCCTGTTTGACTCGTCTAGTAAAATTAGTAATTTACCTATTCAATACTAGTTTGATGATCCTGGATATGTCTCTTCTCGCACCAGTTTAGTGAGAACACTAAGCTGCTAATCCGCATCACTCGTGAGTTTGAGTTCCACGTGCCAGAGTCGATTGTTCTCATTATCTATCTGTTTGATGTTTTCAATGTGAAAAATGGTGTGCATTGAGAAAAAGATTACATTTTCTGCGTCGAAAGCTTCTGCACCGCCAACGAAGGCGAAAGATGCGGATGAAACTGATGGATCAGCAGTTATTTCAAAGAGAATGTCTATTACATCGAGGCTGATTTTATTACTGGCAGCAAATAAAAGACACGTCTCGATCTTTACTTGTCGACAAGAAATTGTTAAATAACATAAGTTCAGGTATACTTTTGATCAATTTTTCAAAGTCCATCTTAGATAAGCTTTGACCACAACAAACACTAAACTGTAACTGTTGTTGACCATTAAACTGTTTCTGATGAAGTTGTTCGATGTGATGATGAAGATCACAAACGAAGAAGTCCATCTTAATGATGGCATCAATTTCCACAGTGTGCAATGCTTGATTGGTCATCGAATATAGAAAACCTTCATAAGTATACCGCCAGATAGGTGTCCGATCGTGTTATTACGATTCGAATCTATTAACACTATTCAACTCGCCATAGTTACCATTATGGCTGTAGATGACGAGGTCTTTAATCGATTGTTCGTCATATTTCATTTCAAGAAGAATTTCTTTGAATATCTGTGTATGCATAAATGATTGATCAAGTTCGGTCGAGTTTTGGTTTGATTGGTCATAACTTGCAGGCACAAAACTAAGTGAGAGTGAGTGTGTTAGTGTGTATGTGTGGTATGGCTAGGTGTGGGTGTGGATGAGATCTTCTTAACACCCACACCCACACCCGCATCCCACACTCGAATTAGAAAAGATGCGAATATGCCATTAATACATGCAGTTTATCTTGCGTTGTTTCATAAAAAAGGAAGAAGAAAAATGTCTCTCTAGCATAGCTATAGATCAATGTGCCAGAACGATGACTGACGTTTTGCTAGATGAGTTTACCAATGATTTTTTCCAAATTTGATGGCAATCCAAACAGGCAAATGCATGGAAAAGAGAAACGGCCTCACTGGCTGTATTGAAATTCTGTGAAAGTATAATTTCAGATACTGTAATGTTCACAATGATAGGTGAGATGCGTTACTTTACAACAAAGGATGCTTCTATCTCAAAAAGTGACTTGTCACATCGGAAGGTTCAAACAGAGACTTTGCACGAAATCGACTTTTGCTTTTATTTAGGTATGCACGTATCTGACATTTTTCAACATTTCATATCCGACAAATTTTCAAAAGGTTGTACTTGATAGCACTAATGGCAAATGAAATGAAGACTTTGCAACTTGCACACAACAGTATTTATAACTTATATTGATATTTACTGTATATAATGAACTTACAGTATGTTATTTTGAAGGATGGAGAGTTTTCAAAATAGAATACCACGACCGCGAATAACAGCTTGTACAAAATTGTCGAATTTTATTTTAAATCAAAATATATATATTGGACTTTCATATAATCGAAAATAAATGTGAAAACGATATAGAAGAAATGAGAATTGGCTGACACTTTTGCGCTCGGTACAATGGTTTTCAAAATTTATGACCTTGAAAATTACTTCTTGTATCTTCAGCTTTTGATCTCAAGACTTTCATCATCATCATCATCATCTGATTAGTCTTCCATTTTTTTCTTGTTCTTTTTTTCTTAAATGCATTTTAGTAACAGAATGACGAATGTTACCATGTGCATAAATGAGTAATCATCCATTTTTCTTTCCATTTTCACTAGAAAGTTTCGCAATATCCATTCGTTGTGAAATTACAATGTGAAAGATAATATAAGTAGCAGAACTTCATCTTTTTTCATGTTTAATTTCTATCATGACTATTACCTCAATTACAATAAACATGGATACACTTTATGATGATTTAATGAGTCTTTGTTCTCTGGATGATACTTTCTATTACAAAGATATTCGTTTATATTCAGTCAAATATCGTATATTCAATTATCGTCTCTGTTCTTACGCAACATTTCAGTCTCGTACAGCAGCCTTGAATTGTCGTGGAACGATGTTCAACATGACGAATCCGAAAAATGTACAACTTGTTTCTTTACCACTAGAGAAATTTTTTAATTATGAAGAAGGTTTTGGTCAAAAACAATATCATGAACGTGGTCGATTAGGGGACAAAATGGAGAAAATGGATGGCACATTGATATCAACATTTTTACATGGAACAGCTTCGAAAGAACTTCGACTCAAATCAAAACAATCATTGACATCAAAGCAAGTTGTGGAAGCGATGCAACTACTTGTTGGTATGTAAATTGATAATATATTTAAGCATAAAGTTCTTTTGTTTGATTAAATAAGATTCATCTTCATGAGTTTTGGAAAATGTCCATGAAAACAGTCTTGGGCTGTTCCTACGTGAACGAATCACTTTTTTCTGCTTGAAGAAATTTGTCTCGATACAATCAAAGTCGCCAGCTCCGGAGATTTCATAGACTACTTAGATCGAAATACCTCACATTCTACAAAAATTTCATTAAGTTTGAAGCTTTTGTCTAGATTCTGTAGATGAAACAGTAAGCCCTGACAGAATCACCACAAATACAGCATAACTTTGAACGATGTATCAAGAATGTGAATCTGACAATAATTCATTGTGATGAAATCACGTTTTTGCTTGAAAAACTTGATCCTTCCACGAGACTAATTTCTATGGTTATGTTGACAAATCGATCTAATTCATAGTTAGAAGTATCTTATGATTTTTTTCCAGCTGACAGGTTGTTCTGATTCTCAAGGACATACCGAAAGAACGGGGCGACTTAAAGGGTTTTAGCCCTTTACTTAGAAAGTTTCTGTGTGTGTAACTGCTCATTCTCGAACAAAAATACAAGTTGAACACAAGAAAGTGTTTCTTTCTCTTTGATATGCAAAAGAATAGAATATGATGTATTTTTCATTTCCACAATACACGGACAACGATGACGAAAGAATCAATGCGAGAAAAAGCGTACAAAAACACAGCGAGGACAATCACTAAGAAAATCAAAACATAATTTATGTGTGTTTTATATCTTGGTTGTTTCTTTTCTTAAGATGACTTTAAAACCGAACTCGAAAAATTGGTTCGTCTCAACTATACAGTCGATATGGAATATACATCGCCTTCCAATCATGTTTTCGTTTCCTATCCACAAGCTCAACTCACTGTTCTATCTATTCGATCACATACCGACGGTCACACTTTGTTCGGTACTCAATTGAAAAAATTTCTTCTTGAAAATCATTTCCCTACAATTCTCGATCATCTCGTTCCCTTTGAATCCATTCCACCTGATGTAACACACAAACAATTACTCCAAGATATTTATCAACAACCTCATGGCGAAGGCTATGTTATTGAGATTATCCAACCAGATCGACCATCCTATCTTGTCAAAATCAAAACACAAAAATATCTTATGGTTCATCGCGATGGTGAAAATGCGAACTCTCCAAGATCATTATTCGAAGCTATTATTAACGAGAATGCGGATGATTTGAAAGCATTGTTTAAAGATGATACAGAAACATTAAAGAGAATCGACGAAATGGAACAAAACATAAGGCCAAAATACAATCGAATGATTGAATCGATTGAACAATTTTACCGAACGAACAAACATTTGTCGAAAAGAGACTTCGGTCGATCAATCAAGATGACAGAAAATATGAAGATTTATTTACCACTGTTGATGAGATTGTATGCAGGCGAGGAAAATAATTATAAAGGTTTTGCCATGAAAAATTCAAAAGATCTATTTGGTATTTATGGCGATGGAAATCAATCAACAACAGTGAACCAACATGAATTAGAACGAGAAAATTGAATATAGGCTGTGGATTGGTGTGACTCCAAACTGTAATATGCAGCTTTGATTTACTAATAACTGATGTCAGCGAGGAATGGTTTACTGAGCAGTGGCCTATACTTTACTGAAGTCACTGTCACTGGGACTAAATTGACACCAAAAATCATTTATAGAATGGCGGTCACTGACTATATTTATGTCGGTATTCAGCAAAATACTGACACACCGATTTTTTCATAGTATACCGCCTTTTTCATTTTTAATTATAATTTTCAGCGAAAACTAGAGGAATAAGTCGATAGACCCTTCTACCAATACTATTAAATCAGACTATGTATATGTGTGAATAATAAAACCAATTTCACCGAAATACTTTGTTGGTAGCTTTATTTGTACTACATCAATAACGTTTTCAGTCTAGAATCTTTCTATTAAATATCCATTCTATTTCGTTATTCTACACATTGTGCAATAATTCTTTTTTTTTGATGAAGTTTCCAGGAGAAGTACAAAGGGGGACGTGGATGAGGAAGAAGCAATAGATGTGAATTTCTAGCTTCATCGACTTGCACATCGGCACCCAGACCATCGAAATCACCATAAACAATACGCGATGCAACAATGTTGGGATTCAGTTCTCATCAATACATGATGCTATTGATTTGAATTTCTTTTTAATTTGAGATTCTTAATCAATCGGCAATCTGTTATTTGTCTATTAAGCCGATTTGTAGCGTATAAAAGCATAATCTTAACTGATCCAAATACGTCAATATTTTATATCATTAAGAATATAACTTGCGTATCCACCAGCTATCCACTGATAGATGGAACTTAAAAACTGTATGAAAATCCAATCTATTCTTGAATTTTGTTGTTTCTCCTTACCCGCATCCTTGATTGATCTAGTTGATGAAGTTCTTTGCGAGTTCTTCTTCTCTTCTGTCTTGAACTACGCATTAAAAGTTGTCATTTTCTGTTACAATGATCTTAAGAAGCAAAAGTTACAAAATACTTGTTTGAATGCGAGAATGAAGTTCTATGATCAAATTGAAGACATCCATTGTTTTCATCTTTGAGATGACGTTCTATTTTCGTAGAGAGAGTTACCTAAAAAGACAAGTTTTTGTGATATTCCTGCTTTTTTTAAAAAGATTCGAGATTATTAGAAAAAGAAGACAGCAATAAAAGTTAGCTGTCTTCCTCTCTGCTTACAACAAAGACACCTGTGAATAAAATTAGCACAAAGCGATTGATTGAAAGTATTGTTTAAAATTATGCTTATTTCTGTTGTTAGAATTCTCTTAAGTAACGTATGTCGCAATAGCTAATTCACAGTTTCATTCTGACTTCGACCATCTGATTGATAGAAACGTCATTTTTTCCATTTTCACGACAAAAAAAGATCTGATTCCAGTGGAACGTGGTTGTCTTTTGTGGAAAAATATGTCATATTTGATATTCTAAACGATTATTCATTTCGCAGATTATATCCATTGATCCGTCAATTGAGATTGGAAGCTTCGCACCGTATTTTACAGTCGAGTGAAATTCGAAAGCCATCCAATCTTTTCTTGAAACACGCATCCAAAGTTCATATTTTGTGATGTCATGATTTCAAGAACGAAAAATCAGAAAATACTCCTTCATACGCTGAGTAAAAATATCTAGATCGAACCAATAACTTTGTTTTCTCAGTCTTACAATGGGCACTTTGTTTCCTTATAAGTAGGCCTTCACAATTTTTGAGGACTTCGATTTTCTTCAAACATCAAGATAATTAAAACTAGATGGTACCAGAGCTGATTTCAGAGTGTGAAAAGGATGTTAAGCACGAATCTCGAGACATTTCTGCACAAGCTAGAGGGCTGACTGCCACTTATTGCTGAAGTTTTCAACTAAATTTCTCAAGTCTAGCTGGAATCATTGATACGTTACTGAATACTAGGGCTTCCTGCTTAGCGGAAGTTTTCACTGTAAAGACTGAATCTCCCTTATTTCTCGGTCATTACTTGTCAAATTTCCACTGAAGATAGCTGCACTGACAGGCTTTCAAATGAAGGATGGCGCAAAAATAAAATTCAAAAAATGAAAGAGATATAATATTCACAAGATGATAGTATGAATGAACTAATAACTTCAGTGCATGTCGATCGATTGAAGTCGAGGTGATGCTTGCGAACAGAGCTCACGAAGGCTCACAGGTACTACAAATATCAGCTCAAAACAATGGAAAACAATATCACTTCAGGGGACACCTAATTTTGTCCAGCACTATAGGCTAAGTTAATGAATAAAAGTTGTTCGAATAATCGAAAAATTATTTCCCTGCAAACAATATCTAAATGGATAGATAATATTGGAAATGTATTTTTCGAATGTGAACAATTGAGTTATGCTGTGGAACATTATCTTACAAGTTTAAACATAACAGCAAAATGTTTCTCAATATACCATGCTAGTTTAATATTACTATGAAAGCAGTTTAAAAATTTTTTAGAAATGGAAACATTCAAACGTTGCCGATATTTTGAAGAGGAATGGCACCATTTATCAAAATATTCTGAAAGAAACTTCTGCTATGTACAAGAAAATTTTGAATCAGACGAAATTGAAAGAGAAACGAATGAACATAATATTGGGCGACTTAAATGGTTCATACTTCAGATTTAATATTCATTAAGAGTGTGGTTTTTGTTAAAGAGAAAAAAAATCTCACATTCACATTGTTGAATCAATTTTACAGATGAAAATCACCTCGTAAATTTGTTGTTGACTTCAACATTGAAAATAACTTAGAAAGACTTTTAATTTGAAAAACTTATGCAAATCTATTTAATGTTGTTGTTTTCTCACTTGGTAAGAGCCATTTTTGGTCTTTAAAAACCTATTGAATATTTCCCAGATTCCTAGAAAGCAGTCACTCTACATGGAATTCGGATGGACTTTGAACATACTGGTGTATGTTTCTTAAGAATTTTTCGTTTTGATGAGTTATTATATTCTACAAATAGCAAAACCTATGAAACCACTCCAAAGAAAAGTTATGTTTCATCAGTTTTTTTCGAAAATATTTTCCTTATTTCCACATATACACAATGCATCTGTATGTTTGTATTTTGAAAAAAGACTCTGGAGTTCATTTCATGAAGCATAATATTCAACTTTATGCCAATAGAATAAAATATAAAAGTAACAGATTGATAAAATTCTCCCCTTCTTCAACTTACAATTCATGCTTTCACATTAGATTGATAGTTTACAGATCTTGAAAATAATACTCACATCAAGGATAAAGTTGAATTTTATTCTTTCTTCTTTTCTTTGATGAAAATGTAGTTTTGCTAAATCTGATATTTTGATTGACAAAATTTTTGTATGATTTCGGATTATTTTAAAGGAACAAGCTTCTTAGGCATTGTTGTATCACATAACCAACAGTAGTATTATTGTATTCTTCAGTATTTGTTCACCAGTAAAAAATCGAAGTTCAACAAGAAACACTCAACATTTCGGAAATTGTCTGATTTGATTCCGTTTCGATATTTTTCGTGTTTTTGTTCTTTGCCAACAATAATGCATTTGATATCTCGATTAATGCCATCAATATTTTGATAGATTTAGCCGCTTGTTCGATAATTCAAAAACCACTTAATAGCATTAATTTCGACAATGCTCTTTTTGTGGAATTGTTGAAGTAAAATAGCAGATTTAATTTTGAGTGGAAATTTTACTTATGGATCTCTCATTCGATAAAAGAATAATCAATCATGTTATTAAGTAACCACGTTAGAGTAGTAAGACATCATTGTAAATAATATAGAATCTACACATGATGATCCTTCGCTTGTATGGCATTGCAATCGCGACGTCAATACTTGTATCCACCCTGATGTGTTGTTTTGTTTTATTTTTTTCAATAGAAACTTCTTTTGTTTTTTCACAT